GGGGGGGGGGGGGGGGGGGTGCAGAAAATAAGGAAGATGGGTGGAGAGGAGAATATCTACGAGGGAAAACAGGTAACACTTTGGCGGATTCACGGTAAAAGTGCCCATTTAAAAAAAAAAAAAAAAAGTCACCCCCCCCAATTCCAAACTTGACGAGTTGCTCGTCTACAAACATGGCTACTGACACCACTGGAGACGGGTGAGACAGATGGGATGTGCTCGCTAATGCTGGATAAGAAACAATGTAGAAGCGGGCGTGATTCCTTTTGGTTAAATTAAAAAGTGGGATTTGACATTAGATAAAACGGAACTGCACCAAAATATGCTAACTAATGAGCCGTGGGTATGTGACAAGAGCTTTTTAGACAGGGCTCATGAGTTAAATATCACCATCCGTCGCCGGGCCGGATCATCTCCGCTGACGTCACTGGTGCTCTGTAATTCTTGTTCATTCTTACGGCTCTCAACCAACGAGCACACTCCTTCTTCCGATCCGTCTCTCCTTCCTTTTAGCAGTAATGCTTCCAACTCTTCTTTTTGCTCCAGCTGAAGTTTACAATAGGCCCATTAACTGCAGAGGCAGTTGAGTTAAACATTTTGAGATCATCGAGCATCTACTCAACAACCAGGATGTTGATACCGCGTCGTAATTGAACCGATCATTTTCCAAATCATGTAAGCGCCAAAATTGCGAATGCGAGAAAAACAAGAAACCCCGTTTTATAAGCTCTGCTGAGTATTTTCGAATTCCAAAAAATGTACGTTCTCTTAGAAGGCTGTTTTGAATACAGACATGATTGATTATACAAGAGAAAACGAAGAAAAAACAACCCATCTACTACCAAACTAGAGATTGACGCTTACGTAATTTGGAAAATAATCGATTCATATTGTCCGCGGTGCGTTAAGGGTGGTTTCACGATAACTGGAATAGTTTTAGTCGCCGTAACAGACGACACATTTTTCGGTCATATTTTTAATAGTAATGATAATCCTTCGATATTTTTTGCATTAACCTACACAGGATTACGCGTTATAACGATTTTCAAAGATGTATCTCTCTACTTTTCAATTTTAATACATAAATGACTGAAAATGTGCTGTCTGTTACGCTGACTTTTTACCGCGTAACAGACAGCAGATTTTCGGAATTTACATACTATGAATTGAAAAGCAATAAATCATTAGAAAGCGTTATAATACGTAACCCTTTGAAGATTAATACGAAAAAATTTGAGTGATTATCATTTCTACTAAAAATATGACCGAAAAATATGTTTTCTGTTACGGCGACAAAACTATTCCAGTTATCGTGAAACCACCCTTAAATCCGCCGAAATATGCACAAATCTAATATGATCTGGCAAGCTTAGAGTGTTGATACGGCGTTTTTCCATGTCACGGCGGAATAGCCCTTCCTCGCAGGGGTCGGAGAGTAGTTGGCTCTTCATTAGAGAGGCGTTCGCCGGGGAGAGGGAGGGTTGCCCCGAGGAGGGGGTGGGGGGAGGGGGGAGGTACCCCGGGGGGAACATCAAAAGACTCGCAAGAATAATGCGTGGAAGCGAGTGGAGTCGTGGGATGCCCCCGACTTGGAGTCCTCCTTTTATTTTTCACGCGGAGCCTCGACTCGACCGCGGATCAAGGGAAATTGAAAGATGTAAATTTCACCGCTCAAGAATTTCCGTCTTCACATTCGCCGCCGCCGCCGCCGCTGCACAGTGGATCCAGTCAATCTGAGAGGTCGGGCAAGAAATTTTTGACTAAAACTGCGAGTTTTGATGTTTATTTCGTCACATTTTAAATTTTGAGAGGCGCTTCAAGAGGAAAATTTCACGAGAAAACCAATGGGGCCATTTTTAAAATCTCAAAGTTTCGATTTAACGGAGTTATACGCTTTTAAAATTTCAAAATTTTGTCCGACTTCTCCAAGTGAATTGCTCCATTGTGCGTCGGGCTCGGGGCCGATAGCATGAGTGAAGTCGGCTTCCGTTTCACCCTCGCCCCGACGCGCCGCGTGGAGTATCTCCTCTGCGAGTCGCTTGGCTTCAAAGGGATGAAATGGGGAGGGGGGTGTTGCATAGAACCTGACCACAATTGAACTACAGTTTGCAACGAGGAACTACTATTTCGGGCTCATCCATAGAAGTGCATCGTTAGAAATCGAGTGGGAAGATTTGAGGCCAGAGTTCATGCAACCCCGAATGATAAGAATGCGAAATGAAATCAGCACCATAAAAGTGTATAAAACTCCGCAAAAAGAGTAGATTTCGCTCCGCAACACTGTAAGTCTTTCCGTAGGGAGAATAGATCATAAAGCACTTATAGGACTCGGGGAGTTTGGGCGCTACGTACACTCCGGCACAGAATTTCACTCCAAAATTTTTATAGTGTACTTATATGCACGTAGAACCGAATGATACCTTGAAGCGAGTCGGGTATAGTAGCTCTTTATTGCATATTTAGGCGAAAGGAGAATTTGCAAAAGTCTGAAATTTTGTAATTAAATGAAACTACTAAAAGAACTGAGCGCAAAGATGCCCTTGGTTTCTAAATTGAATCATTATTAGATGAGCTATATGACGAAAGAAACTAATCTGCCAATACACATGTGTTTAACTGGGAAATGCCACCTGATGACTTCACAAGACGGCACATTTTGCCAATTTTAAATTTATTTTGTACAATTTCCCTTTTCAGGAAAACATTACGGAAAATACTGCAAACTCATCTCACTATGCACTCTCAGAAGCAGCAATAACTTTCTTGGGAGCGAATTCTTCGCCTAAATGAATTAATTGAGCAAACAGCACGTTTGGATTCATATACGAGAATTTCATTACATTCTCGAGTTGAGATAATCCACCAAGGCTAAAATAATGTCTGTACTGCAAAAATACTTACGTGTAATTGTTCAAAAATTGTCTTTAGTAGTCCCAAATCACACTCAAACTAAAATTGAATCGAAAGCAATCGAGCCAAAATAGGTAAAAACCTCACATTCCTTCCCGCTTCTTTTCAAATTTCAAAATGGTCTCGGTTTTCCTGCGATACCTTAAACCAGTGAGAGTCGCGGCTTCATTTTTAGCTTTTAGTGCTTCGTTTTCATGTCTTTTGAAAGCTCACGTGAAAATCTCGAAGAGTAATGTAAGACCGCAACTCAGCGGTTTTGCGTTATTGAACGCAAAATCGTCGGTGTATGGTCCCACGTTACCCTTCCGGATCTTTATGTGAACACAGGACCGATGCAATGCTGTCCTACGGGGAAGCTTTGCGAGGTTTGGTCGTTTTTGCATTGGTCTCTTTAAAATTTTAATTTTTTTTTTGTTTCAGTCCGAGGCACTGCAAACAAAGTGACTTGTTCGACCAGTATCTGGTTGATACCAATAACGCTGATGATGTCTCTAGGAAGCAGGCCCATTATCTCTTGATTCAAATTCTGCCGCAGGAACCGATCAGACAGTTTAAAAATTGTATACTCTCTCGTAAAGTGTATTATTATGTATAAATTTTAAATATAGAATTCTATTTTTCCTAGAGAATATTATCAATTGTCCTTCTGTTTTTGTATCATAATTTTGCAGATGAGAAATACAATTCAATGGTGAAAGCAAACACACCCGAATGGGGAGGGGGGAGCGGCGAAAATAATACCTCAACATTTTTTCCTTCTAGGAATACATGGAAATAGACTGGTTTATTAAAAGGTATCCAATTTACAATTAGTTAAGAGAGATAGAATGGGGCTCAAAAAGAGGGATCCTCAATGATACCCGATATCTCTACAGTACTTTGTCCAAAAATTGAGACTTAAATCCATGTTCTTCTGAAATATTCCACCTTTTTTTCTTAGCTAAATGTTTGGTGGATTCCTGTAGTAATTTTCCGGAGAAAATAAGTCATGTCCACGGTTCAAAATCGATCACGGGTCAATTGCTTTATTTTTATAATTTTTTTTTAAATATGAATAAGTAAATAAATAACTTAATAACTAAATAAAAACTCCTCTAAAAAAAGAGTTTGCGAGTATTGTAAATATAAGTGCTCCGGGTGAGTCCAGAAAAATGGTTATATTCCCTACAAATGTCCATCGTTTATTTCGTAATTTTTTCCTCCTTTTTCACAAAAATCAAAGCACCACGTCTGTAAAAATCCATCCAATTTTCTGCCTTCCTCATAAGAACATGTGGTATCACTTGAAATTTCCGTGCCACCCCATTTTATAGAAGAACACAAATTGAAAGTATCACTTAGTTTTATTCAAAAGGAAGAAGGATTCGCTTTTTGCAGTGTCCGTCACAAGATAGCCGTGTGTCGCGCGCCTCAGAGCATAGTGTACGGCGCGAAGATACAACTATTGCTGCTCTATGGACGTCCATGTTGCATAGCCCAAAAAAATGCGGGCGCATTATATTTCCATGCATCGATATAGCGACGTCCATGGATTTACAGCGACGTTTACGTACACTTAAAAGTGGAGACCGACGCTTCGATGCAGTTGTTGCCGTTTTCTCTCTATGAGCATTTTCAATGCAGCATTATTTAATGATTTCAATTTTTTTATTACCTATTAATTTTCATTCATCAACTACAAAATTAACTTGACTCAAAAAATACAAGTGTATTATTATGAATAGATAAAATATGAACGAAAATTTTAAAGCATCAAAATGCTTGTTACTTTAGTTCCACCGTATAGCTTAGAAATACTATTTTACGAAACGTTTTACTCTTCTCAGCTTTACTTTCGTGTCATTTTTGTGTGAAAATGTCTAATGCATCATTCTGGCCGTCTTAAACATCGTTCCTTTCTCCTAATACTCTAGACCAGGTGAAACAAGAAAACTGTGATTTTCTATCTCGGTGTTTAAAAATGTTTTTCATAATTGAACGTATTTATGCTAAAAGGAACTATTTGCTTAGGGTATGCGTGCAATATAGTTCCTTTTAGCATAAATACGTCCAATTTATTCTTAATATGAGAATAATTCCCAACATTTTTTCATAACATTCTCAAAGAATATCCTAAGAATAAAAAAAAAAATCGCAGGAAAGTGCAATAGCAATGATGTGGTATCCTTCATAAATTTAAAATAACACAGGCAATTTGCAAAATTGGACGTATTTATGCTAAAAGGAACTATGTCACTCGCAATCCCTATGCACATAGTTCCTTTAAACAGAAACACGTCCAATTGCAAATCGACCTGCCTAGTTTCCTCGCTTCGTCATCGATCCAATTCTTCCTGAATAATTATGCCTGAGTACTTAGAGTTGAATAAAATCCATTATCCCACAAACTTCTCCTCATATTTCCATTAGATTTTTCTCCTCAGTGGCTAAACTATTTGAACGCTTCGAAAATCAAATAAAAAAAACCGAGAGTTTACAGCAAGTTGTACGCTCTTAGCATACTCTGTCGCTTTCATATTCTGTGAGCAAAAATGACTCCCATTCCCTATCCTTTCTCTAGACAAAGAGCAAATTGACGGATAGAATCGGGGAAATATAGTTTCGGAGCGTCTCACGTCCAGGCCCGATACAGAATGTTCTATTAAGCGACGCGCAACGCATCCTCTAACATTTTAAGGACAATCAAGAGAGAGAATTTCCAATGTATAACTTAAGTGGGATTCGCTTCAAAGTCCGCAAGAACTACGCTCAAGAATCATACGGTAACAAAACAGGCCAGAGCTTTTAGCCACCGTATTGTCTTTAATCACTTCGGTTTGAAGACAAGCGAATACATACGTTAGGAGAGGAGTATTCTCAGTGCTGCGTCGCCGATTTTCCAAGATCCATGCCGGAATAAAAAACCCTCTCATTCAGGATCGTACTCATAATTATCGCTCCTTAAACAGCTCATTGCCTTACGAAAGTTTTACATGTTTTATGCGAGGATCGATTCAGGAATGTTTGACTCGGCCTCTAGCGAGGCTCACCTTCAATTCTGCCGCATATACTAAGGCAAAACATATACCGCGGAGCATGAATCAGCGTTTGGATCTATGCGACATTTATGTTGCCTCATAAAGTTCGATAAATCTAATTGAACGTATTTCTATCAAACGGACCTAAGAGCCATAGGGTGAGGAAGGTAGAGGGGGCTTGGATTGGCGGCGGAATCGGGCGTCCAGCTTATTCCGTCCTATACTCGCAATGCTTTTCCATGGCGCTCAGGTCCGTTTGACGGAACGCGCTATTCAGGATTCTAAATTCCTCAAAAGGAACTCAAATTGGCGCTTAGTTCCGTTTGATAGAAATATGTCCAATTTACAATGCGTAAACCTATCGATAGACATTGTTAACTTTTTGCAAAACAAACTAACTGACAATCAGTGGTCTTGTTGGCTCGCTTTTGCGCTCTTGCAGCTATGATGTAAAAATTATTAACTTTAATTATGTTCCCCCGAATGATCAAGTGAGAAAATAAAAAAGAAATGAATAGGGAACATATATACATGAATAAACAAATAATCATTTTGCACACAAAAGAAATTAAAGAGCGCAACAATATCAAGGTCTATAAATCAGCTAAGAGTGCATCAATTTTGAAACTGAACAGAAAGAGAATAGATATCTCGATTGCAAAGTTGAATAATGCGAGGGCGCCAAGGTAGCATTCTAGGCCGCTTCCGCCATCTTGGATTTTTGGATTTTGAACACTTGACTAAAAATTTGACTTCTACTACCACTTTGGACTTTGAGGAGATACCTCCTGGCATCAAGTTTCACAAAAATCGATGAAACAAGAGCCGAAATAGCATTCGCCACATCCACCATATTGGGTTTTTCGAATTTCAAATATTTGAGTTGAAATTCATGTTTCCCGTCAAAAAATGTCACATGACACCAAGTTCCACTAAATTTGTCTAACAGAAGCCGCGTATCGCGATCAATGAAACTGCGCAGTGGTAAACGACACCAGCTAATTTACAAACGTTAGTGCGCCTTCATTTTCGTCTGATACTGTGCAATACTTCTGCGGTGGTATAGTTGCGCAGAGCGCCTTACAAAGTGTCGCTTCGATTGCCGCTGATATTACACTCCAGCGCGCCATGCGCATTGCGCAATGAAACATTTTCTCATCACCGATGGTGAGGTAAACAAAGAGCCTCCCAAAAAAAGGGCCTTTTTTGGCCCCTTTTGTGAAACTCGGGGATTGCATTCAAATGTGGCCTAAACGAAACCTTATGATGACCCAAGACTCCAGTAAAAATTTTAGCTTGAGTATACGTCTGGTTTCGGAGATACAACGTTGCAAAGTTTGCATATTTAAGCTTTAAAAATCTTCATATTTTCAAATATTATCTTCCTAAAACTAACATGAGAGTGAATTTAACAATACTGAAACAAAGCGTAAATGAAGCATAATGATAAAGCAAGTCTCCAGTAAAAGTTTCAGCTTATGTATGACCCCTGTTTAGGTAGTGCAACGTTGCAAAGTTTACCTTTCTGAGCTTTAAAAATACTCATATTTTTGAGTTTCTTATTTAAAACCAATTTTAGTGAATGTCCAATTGTATTTTGTGGCACGAAATTAACCCCTAGTGGTACTCGTGGATGCATAGTGCATTGATGTAAGGCTACAATAATTTCAAGTAACACAGCGTTGCGAAGTTTACACCTTATACCTCTGAACATGTCTTTTCTATTGTTTTTTTATTAAAAAAAACTTCGATCAAACATGTCTCGGTATTTTAAAGCAAAATGTTAGGACTCTAGTTAGAACTAGATGACAATTGGTATAAAAAAGTACACTGTTGCCTAATTTTTTGTTTTCCTTCAACATTTATACATAAAATAATTTTAAAATTAGGATACTTCCAAAAATAATAATCTGATTTCAAAATCAAATTCAAGAGACTTTGTCATGCTTAATGGAATACTCATCATCAGCGTTTCTTTCAAAATCCAACAAATTCTGCCTCGCCATAGTTGCCAATTCGACCTTTTGTTGAGAAAAATTAAAAAATAAACATAGAATACGGAATATTTTGAGTTTTTTTAAGTATAAATTAATCTTGATCTAGAGAATACATTTATTACGCCTTGAAAAAATAATGCGTTCATCCACTGCATCCGTTCTTGTTTCTTTAGTGTTCATTTAATCATTTATTTGTTTTTTCTTTTTTTTCTTAATGTTAAAGTTTAAGATTAGCAACAGTGTCAAGAGTGTCAAGACATTGTCCATAGATTTGCAGGCAGAACTTGTACCGATGTGTGATAAATTCATGCAAAAAAAAAAATAAATAAATAAATATAAAAAATGAAAAAAAAATTATAATTGATATTTAAAAAATGTAAAAACATTAAACATGTAAAAAAATAAAATAAATAAAATAAAAATTAAAAAAGTAAAGCAAAGTTATAAAAAACAAAAATCAAATATCAATTCTTAGAGGATTCCTTATTTTAATTTCTCATTTATTTATCGTTTTAAAAGAAGTATTAATAAACTTGATTATAGTATTTTTGCCAATACCAATTGTCACTCGGAACTGACATCAACCCTCGATATTTTGCCTTGATATCAGGTATT